AGAATAACTCCCTTCTTTTTAGTTTTTAAAGCTAGACATTGATAAGTACTACTTCCTGAGATAAATGGCCTTTAAGATAGATGACGAAGAACACATATGAAAAGTTTCTTTACAAAGGCAATGCACAGCCATGTAAGACCCCTGGCACCTATACAGCTAATCCTGTTCTTGGAACGGTTATGTTCATGTAGTAATTCTGCCCTGCTAAAAACTGGGCTGTCCGTGACCACGGCTATTTAGCACACAGACTTCAACATAATGAAGGCTGTAACTTTATAGGGAGTTGGAACAGTCTGCAGTACCCGCAGCGGTGCATTCCTGAAACTCTCCTATACCAGAGTAATGTCAACAGAAAAGGCTGAGTGGTGATGTAATGTCTGAGGGCATGCCAGAGTCAAGACACTTTTTGTTTGATTCACAGGGTACAAGTTATTTCTCCCCATCCCCAACTTTTTTAAAGCAGGCAATAAGCAGTTGATTTTACAGCTACTAGCGTTAGAGCCTCATAGTATCTGCACAGAGCAAAAAAAGGTATGAGCTGATAGCATTCATCATCGTGACACAGGCAACAATTCTGGAGTAAGAAAAGCTTTTGGTCTATTTTAGTTTGGACAGGGGTTTGTGTTTTGTGGGTTTTTTTGTGGGTCTTTTTTTGTTGCTGCCCATCACCATGGCCTCTGAGGCTCCTACACTTAGAAATGCAACTGGGTACTTGAAACTCTTCAATAATTCCTGTATCATCAGATCCAAGAAGATACTTTCCATACCAGTCTAGAAACTAAAAATCCTTAATATTGAAACAACATTTCCCAAATTCTAATGCTAACAAGGAGAATGAAAACTCCCTCAGTACCCTTGGCACAATGTGAGGTTCTCACACATTTTATGATTTGCATGTAGACAAACACTTGCGTGCACTAGGGCAAAGCCTGTGGGAGTCAGGTGCACAAATAAACTGCCTTTAAAATTCCGGGCCTGGATGCCTGTACCGGAAGGATGGACAGATTATGCTTTCACATAAATCTCTATAGCCAACTGAGGGAGTGGTCAGCTGAGAGTCATGCTTGATCCATCTAGCCTATCTTATCCTTCCTCCATTCCACAGCTATATGACTCAAGCGAGCTCCCGGATAACGCAAATGGCATATAATTTTGAGCACATTTATCTACCAACATCAGAGCTTTCCTACAAAGAAAATAAAAATCAGTGGCACGTGAATGAGGTCATTACACTCATGACATGGACAAGACAGAGTTCTGAGAGAAGCAAATGAAGGCAATTATAAATGGGTGCAAATAAAACATCAGCTAAAATTGCCTCTCAAGCTTTGGTAGTTTTAAGAAACAAGACAAGTCTGACTGTGGCATTTCTAGGAAAAACGCTTGCATAGACTGTTCACTGATTTTCATTCAGGTTCACAAGGACTATGGTAATAATGCTGTTGGAGGAAAACAACAGTTTGCAAGGACATACAAAGAAGCAAAGCTGTTCACCCTCCAAGAGCTCTGTCACTTATCTTGTGCTACAGCCCACACACCCAAAATACCTGCAACAACTCAAAACCACCTAAGCACTTCAGAATGTGTTCTTTTAAACTTAAAAAAAAAAAATCATTTAGCTTAACAGGTGAATCTTTCTGAGTTTTGTTCCTTATAGCATTAATGGTATTTCATTCTTTGTTAAGAGGTTTCAATCTACTTGCATCACAGATGCTCCAATAAAACAAGCTGGTATGCAGATCACTGGACACCTGCTGGTAGCAGGCTCCCCTTCAGAGTGACAAGTCAGGAGTTCTGGATACTAGTCCTGTTGAGTACCTGTCACAATCTGGGGGCACTAAAAAGACAATACTGAGAAAACATTAGTATACAGAGCCTAACTGCCATCAACAGACAAATCAATCAAAGCGTTCCCCAACTAGTAGTCTGTGGTTTATTTGTGCAAAGAAACTGTACTAATTTAACATACATACCTTGTCAAAGACAGAATGACACATCTGATCTTTATGGGAACTTAAGTATTTAACATCTTAAAATATAAGGGTGATCTCTAAGAGAACTCTGAAGTTGTGTGCTTGCAGCTTGGAATCTGTTCATTTTTGCCATGCTAGAATCCAACAGCTCCATATGGAACATGGTGTTACTTACCTTCTCTGCAGATTTGCACCACTGTGTTACAGCAAACTTCCAAAGGCAAGTACTATGAGACAGTTGTGGGTTTTTAAATCCTGATGGTCATGATTTACAGGAACACTTCCTGTGAGCAAACCATTTTCCATGTACAAACTTCATAGAAACACTAGCAAAGGCTGTAGTTCTGTGAGGAGCAGAGTCATAGAATTATAGAATTGTCTAGTTGGAAGAGACCTTCAAGATCATCGAGTCCAACCATTCACCCTGCACTGTCAGGGTCCCTAAACCATGTTGCTCAACTGTTGTCTCACAGCACCGAAAGGCCATCTCTCCATCTGTCACTCATCCTTCCTTATATTGAATTCAAATACCTGCCAGAGCCCCCTGAGTGTCAATATAAGTCATTAACCCATAAAAAGAAGCAAATGCTTCTGTCAGGTTAGGAAGTTGAATCAGTGGAAGGTCTTGCATCACCTCTGCTGGATAAGAAAGGCCTTCCTCTTTCAGCAGCTCACTTTTTTTCCCAATGCAACTGCATTTTACACACTGATGAGTTAAGGATATCCCATTCTTGTTAGGGTTAAAATATAGAAATGAAATGCAACTTTATCAGATGAACTAACCATGCAGACAACACATAAGTTTCTGAACACAGGAGAGTCACATTTTTAAATTACTAGGCTCTGTATGAAGTATTAAAACCTAACTATTTAAGTCAGCTTAAAAGAGAAAAAAAAGATTGTCATCAGTTTAATAAAGCTGAAAAGAAAAATCGAAGACAGAAACTCAGAGGTGCAATGAGAGAAAATTTCTGAAGAAGCCTTCCTACCACAAGCAACACTCATAATTCGTACACAGCTTCCTTATCCTTAAGATTCCTTCAGACAAGCCTTAGCCCACAAAAAGTTTTGATCCTGCAAGGAAAGATAAGCAAGGAATTCTATGAAGCTCACTTTGCACGGATCTCAAATGAAAGACATCTTTTATTAAGGCAAAGGACAGCAATATTAAACGGGAGATGGGGCTGAAACCAGATTAAATTGGAAACAGATTTATTTCTTTTTTTGCTGAATTTTGATTTGCGAGAGGAGTCTTGTATACATTATTTTATACCCTGAAAACTCACCAAAAAGCAAAAGTATGCTACTTATATAGAAGGGCAAAATTCAAAAAACATTGTAAATTTTTTTCATCCATCTTGTGTATCTTTCAGTAGTCTCCAACTCTAAACTTCTTTTCTAGATACACCTGGAATTGGATTCTCTGAACATGGTGGTTCCTAAGGACTATCCATAGTGTTAACTATCTTAGTCAACTGAATTTGAGCATTACTGGACAGTTTCAGACATACACAGTTGGACCACATCGTAGCATTTTCTGCAACTTCATTACCTTTTTTCCTTCCAGTTACAGGATGGGTACAAACAGGTATCTAAATGTCAAATTCCACATCTCCCTAATATTCCATATTAAACTTCATCTTCCCTATTAGCATCTTATAGCACTTATAAGGGAATATAAATGTCTTTTGCTCTGATTTCCAACTGGTTAGTAGCATTATGTGCTGTCACTTACCTGAACAGAAAGTCCGTCAAGCCAAAAGAATATTGAGTTTTAAAAAAACGCAGGCTTCTGAACTACTGCATCAACCTGATACAGAACAGCCGTATCTTCCCATTAAAATAACACCATACCCATAAGAAAACGGCTTAAAAAACACAACAGACACTAAAGCTTCTATCTAGATCTACAGTACCAGATGAGAAGCTAAACTATATGTCAGAGTGTACACAGGTCTACTCTGACTTCCAGAGGAGAACAGAGTGACATCTTTAGGCCGACTAAATAATAGACCACCAATCATCAGCAGTTTTCTTCTTAAACAATACATATGTTTGCCCATTCTTTATATTAAACCACTTTATGTTCTTTAAGATGGTTTCATTATTGCATTTTCACACTCCTTCTAAAAAAACCTATGTAAAACTCAGAACCACTGCTCGAGTTAAGTGACATAAATATACTTCCTACTTGCAATCTGAAAGCAGCTCAACTCTGCCTCCTGCAGCAGCAGCAATAGAATTAATGACCAAATTCTGACTGCAGGAATTTTACTGACAACAGCAAAGAAATTTTCAGGTCTTAGTTCTATACTATCACGGCTTGAAAATACATTTTTTTTTTCCCTTAAACAGTTTTAGTGGTTATAAAATACAGCTGTCCAAAGACAATATCCAGCTCTAGAATCATACAAACTGCTGTTAGTCACCTTATGTTTGACCTATTTCTCTGCGATTAGCAGCAGGGACAGAGTCCTGCCTCAGTCAAGTAACAAACTATTCCTTCCTAACCACCTGCCATCACCACTTACAGAACACTGAACTGTAAAGACTTATAATCTGATCCAGTAGCATATTTTTAAGGGAGAAACATTATGATTTGAAAGAAGAATCAATAACTCTATAAATGTTCAATACTTAAGTTTTGTGGGATTGCCTCTACTGCACCCAGTAGCAATACTGAAATGAAATGAAGATGCTTCATTACTATCAGTAGATTAATATTGTCTACACATGGTTCTAGAATCATATTAATTGGACCTAAAAAGCCTCTGTAAATATTTTTCTTGTGAGTATCACCTTCCAAGTAAGTATTAGATCACAGCAAACAAGACGTAAAATTTATCATGTGCTTTGGTATGTTCTTCTTCTTTGAGAGCCTACGTTGCAAAAGAGTTCTGAGGTAAGTCTATACATGTCTTGCCTCCTGTTTCATCTCCTGACTCAGGAAAAAAAACACCTTACAGAGGTGTTTTCAAACACTCCTGGAAACTCTAGAGACTCAGGACAGCATTGTTTGCTTATTACCTGATCACGATCACCTGCAAAACAGCAGCTCTTCATGGTACATGAGTTGAAGTAGCCTTGGTTGTCAAACTGGAAGACAGGCAGCCGGCAGTGGATGTCATAGAGGACTGGAGGAAGGCGCCGACGCAGTGCCAGCAGCTGAGTTCCATTGCTGTTGAACCGGACACTCATGGCACTCTGAAGGGAGAGGTTTCCACCATAGCGGAGCAGCGAACTGGGAAAAGAAAGAGGAAATAAGTGAGATGGGCTGCTCATATGAACTGAGCTACTTAAAAGGCTGAACTCTCTCTTCAATCTTACTGAGTCATTTCAAACAAATAAGCCCAGTAAACTATAATCTTATTTAGTTTCTGCTTCAAAGCATCAATTCCTGAACAAACTTGATTCAAAACCTGAACGACAAACTATCAAATTGCTAAGACTAAGTCTTCAGAAGAGTAAAGTTAAAGACTGTGAGCAGTTTTGTTAATGACAAATATATTTCCTGCATAGCAGTAAAATCTCACAGAGTGACCTTAGCCTTAAAAAGGCTGTTCCTGTACTTCTGCGATGTCTGATCCTACCAGTACTCAGTTATTTTTGTTCAGCTGGTGCTTGAATCCAGCCATCTCCAACTTTTTTTTGCTCTCTTCTGGCACCAGATGGCATTTTGTCGGATTGCAGATACTCTGACCATTGTCTCCCTTCTGCTTCTATTTACATTTCTACAGGGCATCAGAGGATGTCTGCACTCTACAAGCAGTTCCAGCTGTCTTAAATAAAAGGCCATCTTACTAACAAGTCATTGCAAGAAATGCTAAAATAAGTCACTTAGCAAATCTCAAACTTGCTTCGTCTAAAAATATTGCCAAGTAGGCAAGACAGTTTTGCTACCACATGACACTATTACCTAAAACTCTCACATGGTTGAATTAGCTAGTTTCCTTGTTTCATATAAGGCTGTATGATCAGAGCTGGAGTATTTGTATCAGTTCTTATTGGCATATACAAGACAAAACCAAAGGGTCACAAATTTCCAGGCTCTCTCTTTAAAACAATAACAAAATATGGAATTTCTTCCATCTAGGAGCTTAAAGATAATCAAAGCATACCTGAAATTAGGCTTGCATTGTAAGGGCTTTCTGGTTTTCTCAAAGACTTAATTCATTCCCTGTACTCGAAATGATTGTGTGTATGCCAAGGGAGACAAAGAGGGAAGACATTTTATCCCTTTTTTAATCAGTGATCACTGAAACCTCCTTAAGCCCTATTAGAGCTCGACCTTTTGCTAACAAATTTTGAACAATCTCCACCAAATCTTGTTAAGAACTGTGACACTTATGCACCTTCTGGACCAGACAAGGCATGCCAGCACAGAATTTGCAGATTCTACACATTTTAATGCATTATACTTTCTGATGTAGTCTTCTGCTTCAACATTCGTGAAAAATTAGTCACTCCACATGGATGGGAAGCCACATTCCATGCAGGTTGAAGCAAGTATCATTACATGAGATACTGTAAAGTTAAAAAACTATTGTTCCTAAGCCAGAGTTAAACAAAACCAAAGCCAAAATAGAAGATTCTACATAACAAATGCACTAGAAATACACTGCTCACACACACGCACTTTGTGAACTGAACGGTCAAAGCCAGGGTGCCATAAAGGAACCTGAAGTCACATTTTCAAAGCCACCTAGTCAGAGCTTCAAGCTGGGCACCAAAACTTCTGAACGTCTGCATCAGCATGAAGAGTCCTGCTCTCACATGTGCATGCATCCTCCTCCTCCTCGGCAAAGTTGCTGAGCTTCTCTTAATAGTGTTTATGTTTTTTAATAAAAACATGAGAAAATTTAATACTAGAAACTGTAACCTTAGAGACGAGGATGTAGAATCTCCCTCATCAGTCCTAGCTTCTGTTGATCAAGATCCATAAAGTACGCAGCCAGCTCAAAATACTCAGTCAGGCATTAAAACCACATCAAAACCAGACCCAAAACACGCATGACTCTTTTTTTCCCTCCCTCTCTCCTGATAGGTTTGTGTAAGTAAAAAGATTTTTCTATGAAAGTTCTACTTCCTTAAAAAAATATTAAACAAAAAAAACAACCACCAACACCCCAACACAAAAAATAGGCAGAAGAAATAAACCTAGATTTTTCTGGCTAAGAAAGGAGAATTTTTCTATAAAAATATATAAGTTCTCCACCATGGATAAGAACACCATAACATATATGCATCAACCAGACTTAACAGGCCACTGCTGCACCAACACTATGCCCCTCTCCTCATTACCAGTTCTCCTCCTCAATCTAAACTGCAAACTGGAATTCTCTCCTGCCTACAAGTGAGCAAGCCTACCAGATGCCCCATCCTTTCAAATCTTCAAGCAAAGTTTCCATGGTTACTATTATTATGCCCTGCCTGAAATATTTTGAGATTATATTTTATAGTAATAATAGTAGTGTAAAATTAAACTAGCTTCCATTCTGCTTACAGATGTTTTCATTAATCTCCTACAGCAGTCAAAGCTATCAAAGAAAACATCTCTTGGAGTTGAATTATGTATTGTGTTTCAGTAACTTTAGTGTAACAAAGCTATAAAAGCATATATTACTTCAGAAATTAAATGAAGTACAAAAGGCTAGAACTTCAGAAATTATGATCATATGCACACATAAGAAGTCTAGAATTAAAGGGCTGCATAGTTAAGACCCCTTAAAAGATCCACAGCTTTGCCTACCTCATACCCTCACTCAACACAATTCAGCCACACATGTAATGGAAATAGTTTGTGCTGCAGTTCCTTGAATATTTGGCTCAAAGGAAAAAGAAAAAACAAATAAACACACACCATCACTCTCCCCAGACCCTACCTAATAAAAAAAGACAGTGGGCTGTTTGGCTGATAGAGAAGGAAACGCTGAAATAGCCATTTGCCATTCACATATAAGAGCAACATGCCAATCACTTTCCCCACTTGCCTCAATTCTGTCCCCAAAAAATCAGACACTATAGCTCCAAGTGCAGCATTTTGCTGCACTAAACACAAGACAGTGGTCTTCTGTCTTCCTCACCCTGCTGTGTCCTGTTTGCTTCCTCTCTGCTTCTTTGGAAGGGTTTGTTAAATTAACTGCACAGTGTTTTCCTTTAATAAGCTATGAAAAGAGGCAGTAGGTAGGTAGGTGGGGATTAAGAGAGACAAAATGACACCAAAACCCCCCAAACATCCACTTTCCTCACCCAAACAGAGGAGAAATATTTGCTCTCTCTCTCCTCCTGCAAAAGAACATCTCAGAGATACAGTCAGAAATATGATGGGGGATGATATCAAGGGAGTGCAACTCATGGATCCATCTTGGTGGAAAAGCTAGGAACCTAGCTCACAAATAGAGGACATAAAGAATTTGAGAAATCTCTCTTCCTCTGCCTCCTACTGCAGGCAGTATATGAACTGAGTAGCAGTAGCAGTATTTAGAACTGAGAAATCCCAAGACTTCAGCAGTTTCCGTTATAACATTTAGTTGATTGTAGAATCACCATGTTGGCTTTAGGAAAAAAAAATAGTAATTGCCCAAGATGTCTTCTAGAGTATTCCATCTCCATCAAAATGGAAGGAAAAAAGCAGTCAGCTATCTCCAAGTAAGAAGCTGAGGGAAGTTATTTTTTACAGTATTAAACCACTACCAATACTCATTAGCACTAAAGAAGATGTCTGAATCAAGAATCTTGATAAAGATCTTCAAACTAATCAGACATAGACCTTTTCCTCTTTTTCATTTTTTTTTAGGGGGTAGGGAGGGAAGAGAAAGGGAAGAGCTGTGTTTAAGCATGTTCAAGCATGTGTTTAAGCATTCAATGTTCAAATGACTATCTCCACTTTCCTGGTTGCATCATGGTGCTGCTCTGTACCTTCAGTCAGTGCTAATTTTGGATTTTTTCACACAGGATTATGTGGGGCAGTGTAGACATGCTTGGATACATTGCTCATGTTAGAACTGCCACTTCTGCCTGCTCCTTATTGCATGCTCCAGCAAAGGAATTTCAGAGGCAACACCTTCTTGCAGTTAATAAAAAGTTTACTGATGCATCAAACTAAACACAATACTCCTCTTGAAGACTCAGACCATGACAGCTAGTGAGAACTCTGAAGACAATCCTAAAAGGGCACCTCTGAACAAGACGGGTGCCCTTTCTGTCAGAGGCATTATCATTATGATTCCAGACCCAGATCACTCTGGGATTTAGTCTGCTTCCAAATTTGGCTCACTCAGCCAGCCATGGAATGCTAATGATGCCTACCAGCTCTGGAAGCAATAGAGACACACACACACACATGCACTTCTGAGTTTTTTAAAAAGTCATCTTGTATGACAAAGAGAAATATTTAGACCACATATGGAACATTACAATCCAAACACACATGCTGGAGGGAGCCTGAGGAGGGAGAGAATGGACAGTTATGTGCAATATGGTCATTTCCGTAGTTGGACGTGCTGCACACAGGCAGCACTCAAGTGTTAACTAAATACCAGCTCAGCCAAACAATGGAAGGCTTTCAGTCCAAGAGTAGCACCACTAATGTAAAAAAATCCATTTCTACTGGCAGCTAGTGGGGTGAGGGAAGAAGCAGTCTCCCTGCACTCAGAATTTGCAGGAAAAGTCTGCACCTGAAACAAGCATTTCTCTCTCCTCCTCTCTCCCCTTTTCTAAACAAAGATGTTGTTTCATCCTTTTTTGAAAAGTTGACTGCCTGATGGTAAGGTAAGTTTAACCCCGGCTACTCAAAAGTTAGCTCGGCAACAGACAGTGGCCACTAAAACTGAGAGAAGATCAGTGTCTTGGTAGAAATAAAAGAAAATCTGCATGCATGACAGCATTAATAGAACCATTAAATAAAACCATTGAATAGCTTCTCTTGACAAGCTACAAATCTGACAATGAACTGCAGTACAGACACTGTCCTTGGGAAATGAGTGCCATTTAACAGGGAGAAAGATGGACGGAAGGACAGACGGAAGCATTGATATCATAAATAGCAGTGTGTGAAACTAACTTAATGAAAGAACAACCTTAAAAGGAAAAAATAAATTGAATGCTCTTAACTAATACCCACCATTGCATACAATTACATTTGTCAGCATTTCTCTAACCACAAAATTGAGGAACTTCTAACTGTGCAAAACGAACTGGAATGAAACTTGGCAAACAGAATCTTGGCCTGGAAAACTGCAG